GTATAAAATGCAGACACCTAAAGATACCCGCACATACCTACAGTAGCCTCCATGTCCATTTGTGAAATATACCTACCTTAAAGTGCATCTCAACTCAAAAATGAAAATGTGTTTGTGGTGGCTCCAATATTTTTCTTTTTTCAGGCCATTTTTTTCTTTATTTTCACCTGGCGGTCCTGCTTTTAACATACTTATTGTACTAAGGTGACAACACTAACTAATTGAACTGTGTATATGGAGGAGTAGCGTCATCACCCTAGGACAGTAATACTCAACTTTTCTTTACTGGCGTACCCCATGGCAGTCCATTTCCATAAATTGTACACCCTCCTCCAAAAACCAGTCAGTACCGCACTGAACCGAATGGTGGGTGTTGGGCTTAAAAGAGTATGGTTAAATAAAATCTTCTCTGCTCTGGGTCAAAAGTGTGCAGCCCTTAGAGCCTACACAGTGCAAGGGTTAGTAGTAAGTAACACACAGAGTGCAAAGGTCAGGAGTAAACAATGCACAGGGGTCAGGCGTAAGTGATGTACAGAGTGCAGGGATCAGGAATAGGTAACACAGAGTGCAGGGGTCAGGAGTAAGGAACACACAGAGAACAGGGGTTAGGAGTAAGTAATGCAGAGTACAGGGGTCAGAAGTGATTGATTCACAGAATGCAGGGATCAGGAGTCAGTAACGCATATGTCAAAATTAGGTAAAGCACGGAGTGCCCCCTAAACGAAAAATCCCTGCTCCTCCCAATACAAACCCTCACTCCCTATTGGTGGGTATTTCATGTATGCTTCCCACAGAAGGCTTGCCCTGCCGCTGACTAGTGACCAAAAAACACTAAAACACTTTGCTTGTTATTTCACTGCCTGTTTACATGTACCCATAAACTAAGGTTACCATTAGTTACCATTTCCTAGGGACAGTTCCCATTTTGAGAGGTCTGTGCCCGGGAAACAAAAGTCTCCAGAGGTGTCCCCGGAGGCAGGGAACTGCAGCTATATACAGCCAGTTTTGTACATGCTGTGATGGCTACCCCTGGAACCCTGTGTCCCCTTCTGCAGATCCCTGAACTCTGTGTCACTTATTCTAACCACTGAACCCTGCGTTACTTACTACTGAGCTCTGAACCCTGTGTTAATTAAAGGAGAACTATGAGGTGAGTGATTTCCACTCATCCTCATAGTTAGAGCTGCCCTGTGACAAAGAAGCTGTCACAGGTCAGCTCTACTGATCAGGAAGTAAGCATAAAAATGCTGCCAATCCTCTCACTTCCCGATCATCTCCCTGCAGGGAACGGTGACTGCTAGTCACGGCTCCCTGCAGGGATTCCCCCCCCTCCCCTCTTCGATCCTCCAACGCTAAGTGGATACTTTTTCTTAAAGCGACATGTGAAATTTTTTCTAAAACAACACAGGCTGATGATTTTAGGGCAGTTTCTCACCAGAGCTAAATAAAGACCACAAATGAATACATGTCCCCAGAGCAGAATACAAACCCACACAGCAGAATGCAGAATACAAGCCCCCACAGCAGAATACAAGCCCCCACAACAGAATACATGTTCCCACAGCAGAATCCTTGCCCCCACAGCAGATGCCCCACAGCATAATACTGTAGATGCCCCCACAGCAGAATACAGTAGATGCCCCCACAGCAGAATACAGTACATGAACCCACAGCACAATACATGGCCCAACAGCAAAATACAGGCCCCCACAGCAGAATACAAGCACCCACAGCAAAATCCATGCCCCCACAGCATAATACTGTAGATGCCCCCACAGCAGAATACAGTATATGCCCCCAGAGCAGAATACATGCCCAGAACATAGTTAATCTCACAAGGCTGCGTGCCGTTCTCACCCGGGCGACATGTGGATCTCTGCAGGGCGTTCTTAAGCTATGGAGTGTGCCGGTGTCTGGGGCTGTACTGTGCTGTTTGGGGCTGTCCATGGCTGTGCCTGCGCCGGGAAGGAGGATGATATATACAACTGGACAGGCACTGCCACGAACAGCTAAATGCAGGTCCCCAGCAGATTGCCGAGGTCCCCACAAGAGCAGGAACTCAGACAGCGGCTGCGATTTGAAAATGTAAAAGGGCCGTTATTGTCCTTAAGAATCGGGGCATTTTCACGAGTACAAGTGCTCATGAAAATGCCTGGTATCAGTCCCGATACTAGTGTCAGTATCGGGACATCCCGAGTATCAATATTTACCAGCAAAATGATCCCACCATCTGTAGTAAAGCTCGCCTTATTATGGAGCTGGGTTGTGAATTTAACATTTGAGGTGTTTTGAGGTGTAGTTCCACTTCCTCCTCAGGAAAACATGTTTTACATTTATCTTTTTTCTGACATCACATACTGCTTATGACATCAGAGTACTTACTATACAATTGTATATTGACTGGGACATCCTAATAACCTTCGATTATGTCATAATATGAGTGTGATGTCACAATTCCTGAATTAGAACTCACAATATCTCCTAAGGTATAATATATTGAATGCAAGATCAAAATAATGGCTGACATTACAATACTCTCTGTAATAACACAATAGTTGTTTGTTTTTTTTTACCACAGAAATGTTGATAGGGGCAAAATAAAGTGACTACACTATCACAATACTCTTGATGACAAAAAAACTGAATGGAAAAAAATAAATCAAACTAATACTTGCTTAACATTTTTACAACCTGTATGTTCTGTTCCCTTTCAGTCTGATTTTAGGAGAACTGATTTAAAGTGAATACATTATGCCAATTCCTTTATTATTCATTACTGCAATTACACTGATATAAGTGTATACACCTTTACTTAAATATGGTTTCTCAAAAAGAGTAGTTTATTTCTATATCAGTGTTTACAGTGCTTTGAGAGGATGAAAAAGTGGATGGTGGGGCATGGAAGCTGGAAATGGAGACAAATATGAAGAACTACTGATGAGAGGATGATGGGGATTAATAGTTCGGGGATGGAAGCTGATGGAGAGCAGGGAATAGATACAAAGATGAAGAGGTGTGATGGGTCAGAGCTAATGATGTAGAGGATGATGGGGTCTAATTGTTAAGGAGGAAGCTGATGGTGAGCAGGGAATAGAGACACAAATTAAGAAGTTTGAGGAGTGGGAAGTAATAATGGAGCAGATGATAGGGGCAAATCATGAGGGGATGGAAGCTGATGGAGAGCAGGGAATAGAGACAAATATGAGAAAGTGTGAGGGTAGAAACTGAAGATGGAGGGGGCAACGGGGGTTAATCATTTGAGCAATGGAAGCTAATGAGGAGCAGAGAAAAGAGAAAAAGGTGAAGAGGGGTGGGGGAACGGAACTGATGGAGGCGACAATAAAAGTTCAATGTTGGGGGGGATTGTGGGAGTTAATGGGGGGGAATAAAAGTTATGATATGGGCAAATTAGTTTCTTTTAATTGCACTAGAATACAGTATTTACCTAATAAATACAGCATGTGTCGGTTGTGACCCACATTTTTTGCTGGAGGGGAAACTAAAACATCCCTTGGAGAAAAGGTAAAAAAACCCAAAAAAACTATTTGTAACTCTGTACTTAGACACGCCTTAGCTATCAAGAAGAGAAATAATTATGAGATGCCAAAATCTTGTATCAATATAAAATATAATATTTTGTAATCTCTCAAACAGGACTTTGTTCTTGTATACCTTCTTTTTGAGTAACATTATCTAGGTTTAGTCAATTAACTATTAAGTAGGATATGGTTGAAAAAAATCTGAATATTCTTTATTTTCCTGAACTCTTCCAAGCTGGTCTACTCCTGAATAATACAACATGAAAGGTATGTTTTTCCCTACTTAGAGTATTGCATACATATTGCCCTAATATGGGATTTAAAAACCAGCAGGGTAAGTAATGATTAGGACAGCTTTATAATCTGTTATGCAATATTCCTGTAACTGGACTAAACTCCAATACACTCTATCTTTCCTCACTTATGCTCACGTGATAGTTGGAATGATGTCAAGCTTCACCTGACAAATAAATACAGCAGTTCGTAGCTTTGAGACATTACAGAAAGATTGTTGTCAGGATGGCGGTGAATGTTGCAGCAACACTTCTCCTCGCTTCTGGGGTCACTCTCCTGATTTACCTCATTAAATGGTGGAGGAATGTAAAGAAGAAAGACTTGCCACCAGGGCCCACCCCTCTGCCACTTCTGGGGAATATAATGCAGATTAGTACAACTGAAATGCCACAGTCTCTGGTCAAGGTAAGAATAATTAAGCTGAATATTTAAAAACAATACACTCTCATGTGTGACATCGCAGGGATCACTTGTACAAAACAAGTGGCAGCTTCCCCGCTGTACATTTAGCTCTGCTTGCTTAAAGTAGGGCTAAATGTAGAAAACAACTAGCTGTCCGGCGCCCCGAAATGTGTGTCCCAGGCATCGGGGATAGGAATTCCACACCCCTGCTGCCCCTCTAGTCCTTGCTGCCCCAAGGCCGGGCCTTGGTTTGCCTTGTGTGAAATCTGGCCCTGTGTGTAGATCTCTCTGTTGAATATAAGCAGTACTGGAGGCCACATATCCTAAAAACATTTAATGCTAAGAGAAAATATTCTAAAAACATTAAATCCTAACTGAAAATATCCTATGAACATTTGTTCTCATAACAGGCACAGCTTTATACATTGTGCAAGAAATCCCTAAAATGATTGACCGAATGCTGCTTAATTCACACCTAATGATTGAATTGATAAAAAGACCCATAATAATTGAAAACCTGACATTGCCTGTAGTTAAAGCTGAACTAATCCAATTGATTTAACTGACTTAACTTTACTCCAAGAAGAGCTCAAGTTAGAAATATTCAATAAATGTTCTGAAATCCTTAATCAAACATACCGATGTTGTTTTTTATATACATCCTGCTTACTAGAGCGTATGCTGAATTGAAGACACGCTTCTGGTTATAATAACTGTCACAGTTGCCAGTGTTCAACCTGTTTACAGCCACAAATCTCTATCAACAGCTAAGTGAAAAGTACGGACCTGTGTATACAGTCTACCTGGCAAACCATCGAGCAGTCATGCTGATTGGCTATGATACTGTGAAGGAGGCTCTGATTGATCGCAGTGATGTTTTCAGTGACAGAGGGGATATGGATCTAACAGAAATATTCTTCAAGGATTTTGGTAAGAAGCTAAAAACAAAATAAGAATTCTGAATTAGTGTCATACCGTATGTTTTCATTGGAGACTAAGGCCCCGTTCACATTGAGCGATTTATCGAGCGATTTTTGTAGCGATATCGCTCATATTTCCGCACTATATCGCTCTATGTAGCTTCACCAATACATTTCAATGTAGCTGTTCACATCTCGTCGCTCAATGTCGCTCAATATCGCTTGTAGCTCGTCGCTGGTAGCTTGTCGCTTCTACATGACCCTTTTTTAGAGCGATTTTGAGCAATATTGCTCCTGATTGCATACAGCCCAATAGGAAGAAGTCGCGCGATGTCGCGCGATGTCGCGCGACACGTCGCTCAACGTCGCTCAATGTCGCTCGTCGCTCAATGTCGCTCAAAGTCGCGCGATTTCCATGTCGCTCAGTGTGAATGGGGTCTAACCTGTTTTTGTGTGTCTGGTTGATACACTTGTACCATATTAACCATCTCTAATCATTTATACAGATTTAAACTAAAGACACTCACCAACTGTAATAATTGTAGTGTCAAGGCACACTATAGTCAAACTTAACCATTTAACATGGAAGTGCACATGGCAAACTCAACTCTCAAGGAATCATGCCCACGGCTCCTTAACTGGGCTGAGATCCTTGCTTGTTGGAGTAGGAATGAGGCAAGAGCTTCCTTTGGGGAGGTAAACTAGGGCTTTAAAACAGTTATCCCAGCCTGCAATACCACTGGCCACAACTGACAGGAGACTCACCCAAATCTAGCGGGCTGGACAAACCGGCTTTTATATACATGATGTTTATTAATTTTAATTATTTTTGGGATGACTATGTATTTATATGTAATCATTTATATATTATGAACTTTTTGAAATATCAAAGGATTATATGTAATTCATAATTTACTAATTTTAGCTCAGTGTACTGTTGTTATAGTGTTTATTTAGCAAGAGTTATTCAGTGTTTTTGCAGAGCAGCTTTAATAGGATATATTTGTTAGGGGGATATATTTGCTATGGGGTAGCACGGATCTATTTTAGATTATAATGAATTCATAGCTGAGCACGCAGAAGGCCACTTATTCATTTTTTATATTTAATAACCCTAGGCGGGCAATGCATAGACATATGTAAAAAAAACACAAATTGCAAAAAGACAAGAAACAAAATGACATACAGAAATGTGGCTATTGACTATCAAAACAGGTCAACTTTATTGGGCATTGTAGTTTATCTTGTTGATGGGGAGATTACAGAGAACATTTTATGGCAACTTTGTTTCAAACACTTCCCAGGCTATGTTCATTTTCAGGCAATTTAATTTACAGAGGTATGATGTGGGTTAGACTCTAACCTCTTCCCAATAACCTTCAAAGGTGTTATCTCACCGTAGGTTACATGGACCAGCTAGTTCTGATGGCTGGGTCGAGGATGGCATTTTTGACACCAGTGCATCATCCCAATTGCAGCAAATCCAAGCACCATATTTAAACATTGTGTAGGTCTCTCAGTGCTTCTATTAGGCAGGAACATACCATTTTGCATCTGCATGTAATGCGTATTATCAGAAAGAATATTGTAAACTTCCTGAGACAATTTTTTTTGTAATTCATTAGAGATTAAACCTATTCCCTCTGATACTTGGAAAATTACATTGCAGACAGTATGGGGCCTCAGTGTGTAAAGACCCCTTCCTCCCTTCTATTTTGTCAGTTACAAGGTCTGTAGAACTATTTTGTTGGCTTGTAAGGTGACAGTGTGATTAGCTTTATTGACAGCAGCAAGCCTAGAGCAGCAAATCTGTCAGCGATACAGCGACAAGGCTAGTTCTTGTTTGTCTAGCTTAGAGCATTTGGATTAATCTATAGGGAAGGTAGAAATCAATGGTAGAAGACCTATAACTCATCAAATTTTAAATACACATGTAGGCATGTGCCCAATGAGCAGCCAATTATCATATGCTGCGGAATTTTTGAAGGGTGTTTTCTTTGGAATCTTTAGGGTCACTGGTTATTCCATTAGGTGTACAAGCTCCTCAATGCTTATAAAAGCAAAAGTAACAGTGAGGTGCACAACATTTTCTTATATCAAGCATTTATATAGCACAGGCATATTACTAGGCACCTTATAGAGTACATAGAGACAGTCACATACAACCTTGTCTCCAAAAGAACTCACAGTCTAATGTGTGAGCTACAGTCAAAAACACAAACCAGATTGTGAGTGAGCCAATTAACGCAAAGCATTACATTCTGAATCTTGGCTTGTTCAGAGTGGACTCAGAATAGAGAATATGTGCATGCTCTGCAATTAATTTATTACCGAACAGTATGTGTTCAGATTAAAGGAGGGCACCCATGCAAAGACAATGAGAATACACAAACTCCATGCTGATATTGTCCTTGGTGGGATACATGCTGAGAACAGCAAGGGGAGCGCCCTGAAAACTGTGCCTCGTGTAGCAGATAAGTTATCACACTATGTAATCAAATACAGAGGGTGTTAATAAGTCATTATTTAAAATGTTTGATTTTTTTTGCAGTCTACAAGAGCAATATTTATAAACCCTAAACCCTTTCGACTTTTTTAGGGGTCATCATGAGCAATGGAGAGAGATGGAAGACGTTGCGTCGCTTTTCCCTGATGACACTGAGAAATTTTGGGATGGGGAAAAGAAGTGTGGAGGAGAGAATTCAGGAGGAAGCTCAGTGCCTCCGAGACAGATTTATGAAGAGCAAAGGCAGGTGGAGACACTGCTGTATTAGTACAACGGTGACCCTAAACCCACCTTTACATGGAATTATCTAACCTATTAATCTGTGTGATCTGCGGGAGCTTCAGCTCAGCTGATCCAGATGTTCTGCACTTCGGCTGACCGAAGTGCAGCTGAAGGCAGCCGATGTATGGCTGAAAACAGCATTACTGAGCTGGAGTGAATAGCCAATTGTAGTATGGCTCACTTCACTTCAGCTGGGTTATTCACTTGGCTGCCTTTGGGAGCTTTGTGAATAACCCCCTAAATATTGGAGACCTGTTTTGTTAAAATTAAATTGGTCTTCTCTCTGTATTGGACCGTTCTGGGGCTTTGTCCGATTTAAGGGTCAATCCACACAAATCTAAGGCTCTCAACGTGAGTCTACCGGCCCATTTGTTATACACCCTCCAAGTTTATTTTCCTTTTCCATGCGAACCCCATACTCTTCGTTACCTTGGCATCCACCTTACTCCCCCTTTTAGCTCCTTGTATGAGGCGAATTACCCAGCCATTTTTTCCCAGCTATCTCAATTACTTTGTACATGGGCGCAGTATTCCATATCTTGGTTGGGGAGTATCTCGGCCATTAAAATGACGTATCTGCCCATGTTACTACATTTTTTAGGAGTACTCCCTGTTCTGATTTCACATTAAAGATTTAAAATTATCCAAAGTCAGGTTTTTCAATTCATTTGGCAGAAAAGCCATCCCATCTTATGGGAAAATTCTTCAACTATTATAATGCGGCTCAACTAGCTTAATTGCCAAAATATCATTCTGTTACAGACCCTCCACTATAGGTCTCTATAGAGGCTGTCGATTGCAACCCGCTTGCTATTGACAACCTCCTTTGATTACTCCCCAAGGATAGAGCTCAACTGCTTAACCCTATTACTGCTCACTCCCTGCGCTTAAGGGATGCGCATAAATATTAAAGTCACTTGATGTCCCCTCATCATCCCTTTCTATCGTTTCTATGCAACCCTTTGTTTTCTCCTGGCTGTGATTCACTATCTGCATTTAATCAATGGATTTTTTGAGATGCAACATGTCTGTTTTAACTATATACAGCTGACGGTCAAAAATCATTCCCACAATTACGAGACTCGTATAAATTACCATCGTTATAAATTACCATTTGTTACCTCCAGGTCAAGAACTTTCCAAGTCCCTAGCTTCCCTACTGGCCCAACATTCACCCCTTTTGAGAGGGTGTGCACCAAAGATCCCTATATCCCTATATATATGATCAACTGTTGTCTGGCCTAACCTCTAGCTCCCATAACTATATGCCAGCATGGGAGGGGGATCTTGGATGCTCCATAGATGAGGAAAGTTGGAAATCTATTTGAGAGATGATTAAATCCAGTTCTCAGAGCTCGCAGGCGTTGGAAACCAACTACAAACTATTTTATAGGTGGTACTTAGCACCCAGTCAACTTCGGGCTTTTGTACCAGGTCATGCTGGATTGTGCTTCTGAGATTGTGTAGAAGTGGGCTCCTATATGCACGTATGGTGGCTATGTTCGAAAGCGCAGTCTTTTTGGACTCAAGTTTTTGATTTTCTCTCCAATATACTAGGTACAACGCTGAAACTAGACCTGAAGGTGGTTTTGCTTAACCTTCCCCCTGATGAGCTATCCTGTAAACAACATGAATTCTTATTGCATGATCTCAATGCTGCCAAGCAACCAGTGGCAAAATCGTGGAAATCTCCATTGCTTCCCTTTGCAGAAGTAAAATGCAGAATCCATTGGACCTTTATCAATGAACAAATCTTGGCAAGACTGGCGGATAAGGTTCCGCACTTCGAACAAATTTGGAATCCGTGGATCTAATATTTACATTCAAACTCCTTTGACAGATGCTTAGTAATGCTCTAAGTACTTGTAGGAGGCTTTTTCACTCTTTGACTCATTGCCAGGAGTGTAGTGACTTTTATCTGCTTAGTTCTTCCACTTTCTATCTTTTCCTGACCTTTCTCTCTATTTCCCCAGTTTCTTTTTTCTCCATTCTACTCTGTTTTTCTATCGTGAAGATTTTTCGCTTGTTCACTTATTTGCATAGCCCAAACTAGGTTCACGAAATGTACCTATGTTTCACTGTCTTCTGCACAGAATTGGTACATTAATGCACCCCTGGTACCCTGCTCCT